GGGATTACAAGCATGCAACACCATGCCTGGCTAATTTTTGTATTTCTAGTAGAGACGGGGTTTCACCATGTTGGTCAGGCTGTTCTCGAACTCCCGATCACAGGTGATCCACTCGCCTCAGCCTCTGAAAGTGCTGGGATTACAGGCAGTGAGCCACTGCGCCTGACCAAGTGCCTCACTTTCTTCACCTTAGTCCCACCCTGGTCGATGGCCCATGGTGTGTGCTTAGTAAACGATGGCCATCTATCGGTTTTCCAAAGCCTGGGTCGAGCATGAACATGGGGAGGCGGTCCACGCACCGTGTAGCTCATCTCGAATTTCCACTTGCGTGCCTGCAAGTCCCAGAGACGCAGCAGGGCATCCTCAGACCCGCTGACCACCAACTGCTCCTTGTGGCTGACCTCCACACAGGCAACTCGGCTCCTGTGGGCCTCCAAGGGAAACGTTTTGGAATTTGCACACTCGTAAAGAAAGAGGTCCCCGTTGGTCATGCTGTAGATCACGCGGTAGTCCGTCAGAATGGCCACGCTGGAGATGGTCTCGGGCAGCTGGGTATAAAAGGTGTACCTTGGCCCATTGATGACCGGGCAGGGGTCCCCGGGGGCGATGTCCAGCACCAGGACCATGTTGTCATAGGCGATGGCCAGGTGGTCCTCGCACTTGCTCAGGGACATGCAGTGGATTGCTTTCCGGGCCTCAGGAGGGGGAATGCATATCACATCCTGCCTGGAATTCAGGGGGAACACAAGGACGACCCCTGACACGAGGCCAGTGAATAGGAGCTCACGCTGCTCAGCAACCTCCAGACACCTGACCTCACTGGAGGCGTCCAGGGAATCTTGTTCTTCGCCTGCCAGGGAAGAAAAATGAGAATGACTCACACTGAGAATGAATCACAGAGGCCCTGCTTCCCTGGTGTTTTTTGTTTTGTTGTGTTTTGTTTTGAGATGGAGTCTCACTCTGCTGCCCAGGCTGTAGTGCAATAGCACGATCTCGGGTCACCGTAACCTCTGCCTTCTGGATTCAAGCAATCCTCCTGCCTCAGCCTCCCGAGTAGCTGGGATTACAGGTGTGTGCCACCACGCCCAGCTAATTTTGTATATTTAGTAGAGATGGGATTTCTCCATGTTGAGCACAATGGTCTCGAACTCCCAGCCTCAGGTGATCCTACCACCTCGGCCTTCCAAAGTGCTGGGATTACAGGCGGGAGCCACCACACCCTGCCTGGTGTTCATATTTTTTTTTCTTTTTTCTTTGAGACAGTATTGCTCTATCTGCCAGGCTGGAGCACAGTGGCAAGATCGAAGCTCACTGCAGCCTTCAACTCCTAGGTTCAAGCAATTCTCCTGCCTCAGCCTCCCCAGTAGCTGGGATTACAGGCATGCACCACCAAGCCCAGATAATTTTTTTTTTTTTTTTAAAGTAGAGACGGGGTTTTGCCATGTTGGCCAGGCTGGTCTCCAACTCCTGACCTCAAATGATCCGCCCACCTCAGCCTCTCAAAGTGCTGGGATTACAAGTGTGAAGCACCATGCCCAGCCATGACTAGCTACTTTCCACCTGATTGAAGTTATAGGTGTGTTATGGACTGAAGATTTGTGTTCCCCTACCACCAAATTTCTATGTCAAAATCCTCACTCCCCATAGGATGGTATTAGGAGCTGGAGCCTGTCTAAGTCTGTTGGTGTTGCTATGAAGGACTACCTGAGGCTGGGTAATTGACATGGTTAGGCTGTGTCCCCACCCAAATCTCATTTTGCATTGTAATAATTCCCATGGGTCAAGGCCAAGGCCAGGTGTAGATAATTGAATCATGGAGGCAGTCTCCCCCATACTGTTTTCATGGTAGTGAATAAGTCTCAGGAGATCTGACGGCTTTGTAAAGGGCAGTTCCGCTGCACATGCTCTCTTGCCCACTGCCATGTAAGACGTGACTTTGCTCCTCATTTGCCTTCTGCCATGATTTGTGAGGCCTTCCCAGCCGTGTGGAACTGTGAATCCATTAAACCTCTTTCCTTTACAGATTACCCAGTCTCAGGTAGGTCTTTTTTACTATTTTATTTTATTTTATTTTATTTTATTTATTTTTGAGACAGAGTCTCACTCTTGCCCAGGCTGGAGTGCAGTGGCAAGATCTTGGCTCACTGCAACCGCCATCTCCCAGGTTCAAGCGATTTCCAGCTAATTTTTGGAATTTTAGTAGAGACAGGGTTTCACCATGTTGGCCAGGCTGGTCTCGAACTCCTGAACTCAAATGACCCGCCTACCTCAGCCTCCCAAAGTGCTAGGATTACAGGCGTGAGCCACCATGCCCGGCTTCAGGTATGTCTTTATTAGCAGTGTGAGAACAGACTAATACAGTAATGCATAATTATGAATAAGAGGTTTATGTGGCTCATTGTTCTGCAGGCTGTACAGGAAGCATGGTGCCAGACTTTGCTTCTGGTGAGGGCCTCAGGCTGCTGCTTCTTAATACGAAAGGTGAAGGGGGACTGGGGTGTGCAGAGGTCATATGGCCAGAGGAAGCAAGAGAGAGGGAAGTGCCAGCTTCCTTTTTCTTTTCTTTTTTTTTTAATTGAGATAGGGTCTTGCTCTGTCATCTAGGCTGGAGTGCAGCGGTGCAATCACAGTTCACTGCAGCCTCAAATTCCTGGGCTCAAGCAATCCTCCTGCCTCTGTCTCTCTAGTAGCTGAGACTACAGGTGAATATCACCATGCCCAGCTAATTATTTTTAATTTTGTTTATTTATTTATTTATTTTTGAGACAGAGTCTTGTTCTGTCGCCCAGGCTGGAGTGCCATGGCGCTCACTGCAACCTCTGCCTGCCGGGTTCAAATGATTATCCTGCCTCAGCCTCCTGAGCAGCTGGGATTACAGGTGCCTGCCACTACGCCCGGCTAATTTTTGTATTTTTAATAGAGATGGGGCTTCACCGTGTTGGCCAGGCTAGTCTTGAACTCCTGACCTTGTGATCCACCCACCCTGACCTCCCAAAGTGCTGGGACTACAGGCGTGAGCCACCATGCCCGGCCATTATTTTTATTTTTATTGCGACAGGGTTCATGTTGCCCCAGCTGGTCTCGAACTCCTGGCCTCAAGCAATCTTCCTGTTTCTGCCTCCTAAGTAGCTGGGGTCAGGTTCTTTTTAACAACCTCATGAGAACTAACAGAGTAAGAACTTACTCACCACCACCATTGCCTTGCCAGGAGAGGGCATTAATTTATTCACGAGGGATGTGTCCTTATGACTCAAACACCTCCCATGAGGCCTCCCTCCAACACTGGGGATTAAATTTCTTTTTTTATTGTTGTTTTGTTTTGAAACAGGGTCTTGTTCTGTCGTCCAGGCTGGAGTGCAGTGGCACTATCTCAGTTCACTGCAACTTCTGCCTCCTGGGCTCAAATGATCCTACCACCACAGCCTCTCAAAGTAGCTTGGACTACAGACATGTGCCACTACACCCAGCTAATTTTTGTCTTTTTATGTAGAGATGTCTGGTCTCAAACTCCAGAGCTCAAGTGATCCACCCACCTCAGCCAACCCAAAGAGCTGGGATCACAGGTGTGAGTCACTGCGCTGCGCCTAGCTTTTTTTTTTTTTTTTT